GGATTTCTCCGAAAGGGGCAGCAATTCAGCCCCCCCTACACAGGAACTCAAAGATCGATCGGGGATTCAACCACGAGCTTACCGGATCACTGCTTTGTCCTGCTGGGTTGGACTGGAAGGACGCAGAGTATGTTTTCGTTTTCTTTTTTCTAGCATCGGTAGTCCTGACAACGTTTTTTGCGCTTGATTCTCAACAGAACGAGAGAGAACCTCCGAAGTGGCGAAATGTTAGTCTGTGGGGACCAATGGCCCATTTTCTTATATGCCCACCATACGTTTGATGCGGATGACCCATGGTGCGGTCTTCTTAGGAGCCGCTTGTTGGTATGTGTGAGTAGGCAAATGTATTTTTACATAGTTCACTACTGATTGCTTGCATGTCAGGCCTACAAGTATGTCTTTACGTCTCCAAGTTCGGTCGACAAAGAACCGAAAGCCACGCGGTCCGGGAATGCTCGCCTTCATGGCATGAATTCCGTCACCATCGCGTCCATAGCTTACGTTGCAACTCAGGTTCGTCGACGCATGTCTTTCTCGTTGAATAGCTGATAGCTGACATACATGCAACCGAAGGTCCGATTTGCTATAAGTTCTTCTTCGGTGTTCTCAAGGACCGACACAACGACCGACTCAGAAACATTTTATCATAGCCTCCTCGACCTCTTCGAAGATCCTGAGGAATCTAAGGAGGTTGATGACCTACTCACTTGGTGGAATCGGTATTTTTTATTACTCTTCGTTATATCACTGAGGCTCATGCATTGTTATGTGCCAGCCAAGTGTTTCCCACTTCCTCTGCCGCTAAACGACCTATCAGCGCCAACAGTGCCTTATCGAAAATACGGCTCAAACGTCTTGCGATCAAACAAACTACAGATTCAAACTTAATTTCATCGTAGTCTTTCTAGAAACATGTTTTCGTATAATAAATTACAACTAATATAAGCATAAGCATGTTGTCGTCAACTAGAGCACTCGAGTGACCAGAAGATAGACCTACAGCCAATAATGATCTGAAATAAGCCGAGATGAATTGTAATAGCCCTACCTCTGCAACAAGCTAGCGGATGGTACCACGTCGTCATCGTCCCGCACTCTTGTAACGAACGCAGCTCGGTCCAGAACAAACTAACGTCGCAAGGCCTTATATAGCGTCAGAGTTTATCAAGACTTCGTGGAGAATAGACTGACTAACCCACCTTACACTTAATGACCATACCTTGGCAGTGAGCTGGCAGATAGTATCGCATCGTCATCGCCCCGCATCCTTGCACCAAAGGGAACTCGAACCAGAACACACTAACGTCACAAGACCTTATCTAGTACCAGAGATTATCAAGAGTTTGTAGAGAACAGAATGACAGACTCACCTTGGACCTAACGACCATATCTCAGCAGTAAGCTGGCGGATGGTATCGCGTCGTCATCGCCCCGCATCCTTGCACCGAAGGGAGCTCGATCCAGAACACGCTAATGTCGCAAGACCTTATCTAGCGCCAGAGTGCATCAACAGTTTGTGGAGAATGGACTGACTGACTCACCTTGCACCTAACGACCATATCTCAGCAGTGAGCTGGCAGATGATACCGCATCGTCATCGCCCCGCATCCATGTACTGAAGGGAACTCGGTCCAGAACACGCTAACGTCACAAGACCTTATCTACTGCCAGAGTTTATTAAGATTTTGTGGAGAATGGAATGACTGACTCACCTTGCACCTCACGACCATACCTTAGCAGTAAGCTGGCGGATAGTACCGCATCGTCATCGTTCCGCATCCTTGTACCAAAGGGAACTCAGTCCAAAACAAACTAACGTTGCAAGACTTTACCTAACGCCAACGTCAAGGGAGGATTTGTCGAAGTTCCATTGAAAAGCATAGGTTGCCGGTGATAAGCGGATTGAAACTGCATTATAATCGCTTTACACATTTGGGCCGTTGGCAGCTTTGATCCAAAGCAGTCCGGCCATATAAAAAATTATCTGATGTTAGCATTCATCTAGAGATTGCGCAACAGCCAAAGGTCACATACCACGACCAGGGCATGGCAGAATGATAGTGTATCACCGCTAGTGCTCAACTAGGTGACTGTGGTGACTTTGGGCAACTTAATAATTCATTCTCACGGCTGGTGGGTATTGCAATCTGTTGACAAAATGGCAGATAATTGCAACGAGACTGCACAAATGTGCATTTGGTGGTTTCTATCCAACGTAGTCCGGGTATTCAAAGCTCTGTCATTTGAAGTACAATTGTGATATATATTGTACGAATTTTACTTTAAATAAACCTTTCTAACACTTTACCATTTTCGCGTCGCTTTCCTGATGTGGCCGCATATAGTATTTACATAGAGGCTACTATGTATCTATATGTAGACCTGTATGACGTAATAATAATCTTTGAATTCTGCTCCCGTTGCAAACCATCAGATCCGTTCTTTCGTGCCCGTTCGTACCAATGCCCCCAACACCCGTCGAAGTCCTGCGCGCCTCAGTCGAGGCTCATAATGATACCTTCGAGGCTTTACTAAACTTGATACCTGCCAAATACTACCTGCCGAAAGATGATCATGATGCAGACGACAATGTGTGTTATTTAAATTTTCAGTCGTTCATTGATGAATCTGAATCGCGTCGTGCGCATCGGACAGGTTCCGTCCAAGTATCAAAAACACAGCAAAAACAAGAAAGCACCCAAACAAGCTGCGAAGGAGGCATCAAAAAAGGCTCGTAGGGATAAGGTCTGCCACTATCATCACTGCCTGATGTTCCCTTTTGAGTCTGAGTTCTTATTTTCCTAGCTGGACCCAGCCAATCAAAAGTCAGTCATCGACCTTCAGAACGAAGCTGCTCTTGAGCTAGAAAAAAACAACTCGAAAGTCAAAGGGAAGCGGAAAGCTGCGATACTCGGGTCTGATTCTGATGCCGACGACGACGTTATGCAAGTGGATGATGTGGATCTCAGTGATACCGTTATGGCCGCCCCACTTGACTCTATAGTGCCCATGGCTAAACCAGAGAGTATCGCTGCTCTCCGAGATAAATTACATTTGCGCATGGCAGCTCTCCGACGTGGTGGACAAGGTGGTGGAGAGCCGGGAGATAAAGACGAGCTTTTGGAAGAAAGGAGAAAGCAACGCGCCGCGCTTCGTGAAAAAAGACGAAAAGAGACAAAAGAGAGGCGCAAGGCAGAGGCTGAAGGCAAAAAAGGAAGCAAGAAGGAAGTGACGAAGGGTCTTCCTGTCAAGGTATTTTCGCACCTTGCGAGGTTTGAGCTCGAGTTCATCCCTGTGTGCTCGAAAAACAGAATCAGCTACTTGTTCCGGACTTGCCAGTCGCTTCGAAAGGAACTGCAGCATCTCGCCCTATCGACGGTCCATTGACTAATGTATCTTTTTCTGTGGTGGCCGGGAGTTCGAGCAAAAAGGCTGCATCACTCAAGACGTCTTCTAATCCTAATCAAGCTCTGTCGCAGCTCGCTGCGCGGAAGGAAAAATTGGATTCGATGCCGGAGGACAAACGCAAGGCTATAGAAGATAAGAGTCGTTGGGCAAAAGCGGAGGCGCGTGTCGAAGGTGTCAAGGTCAAGGATGACGAAGGGCGCCTGAAGAAGGCAGTAAAACGGAAAGAAAAGGAGAAAGTGAAGAGCAAGAAGTCCTGGTAAGCTGTTGATGATCACTTGGTTTTTTATTGATACTTATATTGTTGCAGGGAGGAGAGGAAAGACCAGCTCGCAGCTTCCATGGCTGCAAAACAGAAGAAACGATCAGATAACATCGCGATGCGAAATGAGCGACGAAGCGATAAAAGGAAGTCGTCGTCGTCAAAGGGGAAAACTAAAGCTCGACCTGGTTTTGAGGGCAAGGCTTTCCATAAGGGTAAAGGGAAAGCTACGGGCAAGCACAAGTAGCGCAGGTACTGTGGCCCTGATGTATGGTTAGGGATAACTTGTATCGATCTCATTTCAAGTGGGTCATACTTCAGTCAATGTGCTGGGATTCGGGGTGAATGGAGACATGATAAGGCTAGCTTAACTTCCACAGCAGTGCAGATTCTATTAATCGGCCGCCTCACGCCTTCAGGTGACACTGTTTGTCAATATTCTGTACAGACGAAAATATTTGGGTGACTAGGCCAATTGTCGGACTAACTGTGCCCCAGCGTTGTGAGTAGTACCTGCTAGTCCAGAAAGGCAGATCCATATTACAGTTCAAGTTGGCCAGTTCAATCAGAAGAGGGGACTCATCCCTGGCTCGGGCAATAGAGTACTGACTATCAAATTCAAAGAGGGGACGGTTATGACGTCTTCGAACCACGACAGTTTATATACTGCTTGCCTCTAGTCTCCTTTCTAGTCTTCTCCGACTTCTCAACAGCCATCTACACTCGCAGTCAACACTTATACACTACAAAACTCACAATGTCTAAACCTCTTACCATCGAGTTTTCTGGTACGTCGCCCTGGGTCATCAGTGGCAGTCGGTCTAATTCTTCCTAATTATACGTGCAGGGAAATGCATCATAGTCACTGGGGGTAACCGTGGAATTGGGCTTGGGTTTAGCCGCGCTCTCGCTAAGGCTGGTGCCCGAGTAGCAATCATCTACAAGTCGAGCTTAGCTACTTTGACGCTGTCAATTGCTAATTAATGTGTGGTTAGGAGTAACAAGGACGCCCCTAAAGTCGCTGAAGATCTTGAGAAGGAATTCAGCGTCAAAGTCAGGGTATGTAAACCAACCTCGCTGAAATGCCGTCTTCATGCAGACCCCTATCCTCCTGCACAGGCTTACAAGTGCGACGTCACCAATGCTAAGCAGACAGTTGAGATGTTTGAGTCCATCGACAAAGAGCTTGGCCCCGTCACAGGTCTTATTGCAGTGAGTAGATTTGTTTCCGCCAGATTGTCTTTTGACACGAGCGGTTTGATTATAGAATGCTGGTGTTTCTGTCGTAAAGCCTGCTCTTGAACTCACTACAGAGGACTTTAAGTACGTGTATAATGTTAATGTCTTGGGCGTATTCAACAGCGCTGTGGCTGCTGCAAAGTAAGCTCTTCCATGTATTTTGTGGAAGGCAAGACCTGACGAATATGGCAGACTTTGGAAAGGGAAAAAATTGGAGAACCTTTCCATTGTGATCACGTCCTCCATAAGCTCGCAGATCATTAACCAAGCTGCGACAAACGAACCCTTGACGCAGGTCTTTTACAACTCCTCCAAGGCCGCTGTCTCCAACCTTACCATGGGGTTGGCTGCTGAGTGGGCTAATCACAACATCAGAGTGAATTCAGTTGCTCCTGGATATGGTCAGTATTTCTTTCTATGGCTCGAGCACGACGTACTGAAAATATGTATTAGTGAAGACGGACCAAACTGATAATTTGCCCGACGAAGTCATTCAATATGAAAAGGACCACATTCCCATGAGAAAATTCGCTACGGTATGTACATACTGTGCGTTTCATTTAGAATTTACTGATTCGCTTATTTTACAAATTGTAGCCCGATCAGATCGCAGGCCAGGCACTTTTCCTCTTGTCTGAGTACGCCAGTTACATGACTGGCGGGGAGCATCGCGTTGATGGGTATGTCTGCCGGTTTCGCACAGCATCAAAAATCTGACAGATTCCTTGCCACATTCCTTTAGCGGCCAGCTTATCTGGTAAATTTGCTTGTCGTCTCAAAAGAGCCGTGATCAATGGTGTGGCTGGAGCTTTACAAGAGGGAGTAGTTCATTACAACAGAAGGATGTAATGCGTGTACAATAATTTCAGAGAATTCCAGCGCTGCTGTACAAAATAAGGAAGAAAACGACTCAATCCTACATGCCTAATACAACGATGTAAATGTTTGCTGAGACTTTGGATATTATCAAAGAAGCGAGGCCAATGTATGGAACGATGAGATGGTTGTGGATGCAACTAATCCACAGTCGACACCCCCTTCAAGGTCAGGCGCCCACGCTCGTCCGTGTCAAGTTCAATGAACTTCCTGTGCAACATATTCACAGCAGATACGAAGATGATATAAAAATTACAGACCATTTCCGTCATTGTGCGGTAAGCCATGCCACCTATGGCGTGGCTTTCCCTTATACTAGTGAGGTTAGGAGAGAAAGGGTCAAACAAGGAAAAGTATCAGTAACAGAACACCTACACGGGCTTTAACACGTTGCCCAATGATGCTGGCGATGACCATGACGGCCGCGCTTGCCATGAAACCGATAGCGACTGGTACAAGCGAGAATAGCATGAACCGCGGTTTGCCATGAGTATTCTCAATAATGTAATCGACGATGCCAACGGCAAAAAGGATAGATGACCAGAGGGCGAATATGACAGGGCTGGCGACCGCAATCGCAAGAAAAGTTGGGTTGATGTAATTGCAACCTTTCACTAGCTCTGCCATGTCCTCGTCCGAAATAGAGAACGCCTGGATAGGGAAGTACTGAACAATGAAAAGACCGCAGACGCTCAACCCAGCTGCTCCCAGCCAAACAGAGAAAGCGAGAGGGGGAGCGGGTGGTGAAATCGCGAGGATAGCTGCACTCATAGTGGCGAGGAACGCGAGCTGTACAAAACATGAATTTTGTATGATGTATTAGTGGAGGTCGACGACTCGTTTGAGTATATACAGCTTACCGTGTTCGATACTCTATTCCACTCTGCTTGCTGTTCCACGCGCCAGCGATTGACAGCTTGTAGGCCGTCTGCTTCAGCGGCATCGGCAAATTCATGAAATCGGGCAAGATAAGTGTGACCCATTTGGAACAAGAGAACATTATCCAAGATTTGGAGACACAACAGATATAATTTGGAGAGGAGACGAAACATCATATGAAGGCTGCTGGTATAAGGCGGTCAGACTCGAGGCGGAATCAGACTGCTCGAGGGCTCATTTCAGCCATGTTTAGTATATGGAACGTGGAGAAGAGCATAAGCGGCTTCCACAGCATGCCACACCATGACCAGCGCTATGTCGTTTGATATTGATTCAGAATATCGCATCGATGATTTATGCAAAATGGTCTTGGGAAAGTCAGAGTATCAGCAGGCGAGTGGTCGTGGTGAGTCTATAACAAAACTCTTGAGTGAGTGACAACTTTACAAATCATCACCACCATAAATATTAATAATTCAGATGGGCTCACTCCCGGCACTACGTCTACTGTCAAAACCACTGCCTCGAAATATGGCAAGGCACTAATACATAAACTGGAATTGCTCAAGGATACCCGATTTTCCCACTGGCGTCACGAGTTCATCGTACTTACTCTGACTTATGCAAGTGAAACGCGTCTGCTTTACTTGGAACATTCTTGGCATGGCACAGGACTAGGAGAACGAATACCCGTGACTCTTAGCAGTCTTGTTGGCAGTCAGAAAGGCAGCGCAGATGAAGCAATGTTTTATAAACCAAATGATCCCCATGAAAATCATCGGAGGAAATGCACCATGACTGTCCTCGAAATCCAGTTTTCTGATCATTCTACTCATAGCCCGGTCACTCTTCATTCCATTGCTCGGATTCTAAGGCAAATAGGGACGAAACATAAAGCCTATGCGTTGTTCAGTGCCAACTGTTGGGCTTGGTCTCGAGGCATTGCTATGGCCATTGCCATAGAGTCTAGTAGCAACGTTGAGATAGTGACTATGTCAGGGAGGGATGTAACATTGGACCAGCTCAAAATTTATCTGTTGACCGAGTATGGTGCGTTTGGCGGTCTGCTCTTGCATTGCATAGGTGTGTCTCGTACATCTCAATGCAGTATCTTGCCTGATAGCCTGAATTCTCAGAGAAAGGGAGGCATGACCTACGTTGGCACGAGTATTGTACTCTGCGATGTGTTTGCTTCCTTTGTGGCTTCATTGGTCTCGGACTTTGGTTCAGACATGTCATTTTCGGTCCTCTCAACTGGGCACTACGCATCAAGGAACTTTGCATTTACAAGGACCGGACAGCCAACACGAATGGTCAAGACCACACATACACTATCCTGCCACCCGACTTCACAGATTTAATCCCCACATTCCCGGGCATTGCCACCCACTTTCTGGGATACAATTTCTGCGGGCCAAGTAAATATCTATATATCCTGGTCCCCCCGATTGCAACCTCTGGAGCAAGAGTCACATCAGTCCATATATTTATCTACGGCACTGTGGAGTTAGAACCAGGCCAGGAACAGTTGGCCTCTGTTACTGAGAGCACTCTCAATAGAATGGAATGGTTTCGATGTGCTATTCTTCGCCAAACGCAAGACGGAAGACTCATCGAGGTCTCTGAACCCGCTTGCTTTCCACTCAGCGTACAGTTTCGGAGCGAATCGGGGAGGCGATCATACGGCGCCGTGCATGTCATGGAACATCATCACCCATTGACTCTGGGGTTACGTCAAGGGGACTCGATAGCAATATGGGCCCTCGGAAGAGCTGGCTTTATTCACAAACCAGCAGGCGCATGGATTAAGGTAGGTCACTTCATATGCAAATACTTACTGGCATGAACGAGAGGACACACGTTTAGGTCGTGACAAATCACCGGCTCGGATTCTTGGATTGGCTGGTTGTGACCAACGTGGCGAGAACGATTGCGGGACTTATCATATACCCTCGCGGTCATACTTGGCCAGAGATTGTCGGAAGATTTTGCCATGAACTGAAGCACCTGTTTATCGAGATTCCATGGTGCTTGAACAGTTTGTGAGTCAAGCTCCCTCACAATGTTTCCTCCGATGAATCGTTTCCCTATCAATCTAGTTGTAATGACTGGCCTTGGTCAGCAATCAACATGGCAGCATCACACTTACTTTCCACTGTCACATCGCTCCAGTTACCTGAAGATGACGGTGACGAGCACCCAGTCGAAGTATCATTGTCTAACTTCATAGAACAACTTCTGTCACCCAACGGCGGAAAAGGCTCACCATTCTGCAGAGCTACAATACGCTCCATCTCTCTTGGACAAGCTGAGATTGATCTCTTCAAGATCATCATTCTGCTAGTCACCCTCGATAACGTGAAGTATTATGTGCATATACGTCATCCCAAAGACGAGGAGTCTCTCTGGCACCATTTTATCACTTCCCTGTGGAGCTATCATGGGTTCGTGCAGGATACAGTAGTGATATATCGACCAGGAAAAATGCAGAAAGCCGCTTGGGACGCCTTGGATGTCGATTTCACAGCCGAGCTGTCTGATAGTGACACTGCAGCATCGCAGGATATTCTCTCGGTCGCCTTGCGTTTACGCGACTTCCGGAACAATTACTGGTGGTATTTCTGGCTCAATGAAAATTGGCAATGGCCTATATCTATCGTGAAGGCGATAATGAAATGCACTGGCCAGGTTGTCCGTGTCCAGCTACAATGCGACGAAGAGCTGCTGCAGATTGATAAGTGGGAGCAAACTGACGACTTGCTGGGAGAGAAGGTGGAAGGATGGAAACATGCGGAGGGGAAAATATATGGTGAGTGTTCCCAATGTCAATGATACCTTGCTGATCACAGAGAATCTAGGGAATGGAATGAAGGATGATGTGCTGTTTTTGTTTGCGCATGCACGAGCGCGCTTCTTGATAGGGCCGATCATACTGATCTCTGCATTTTTTTATGTTTATTATCGCTTCTAATCTCATCAGGTTTTTGTGAATCAAAGGTTGAAGCAATGACACGGCTGCCATTTTGTAATGATTCCAGAGACTAGATCATCTAGATAGACTGGGGTTTCCTCGGGTCTTCCCGGTCCTTTCTGTTGGCCATCAGGGAAAACCTCCCATGCGAAATTTGCAGAATGAGTTGATTTTAGTCAACTTTACTCAGCTTTATCACGTATTATTGCAGAAAAATGCATCTTCACGGAAAATATAGTATATTAGCCTACATTAAAGTAAGTATACATGTCTTTGAAAACATTCAAAAAAAATGTGGCGCATGTATCAAGAACTTCTAAGCTCGTCCATTCTGCGGGAACAGCTCCTCCCCACTTAGGCAGTAAGTGAGCACTTCGAGAAATCAAAGAGACCGGTACAATTGATACTTGGCGTTCACCATCACGAACCAGCCGTCTGACCTTATACAACCCAGAGTGCGTATCTGGTAAAGGACTGAAAGCCGAAAACCACTCCACATAGGCAAGATGTTGGGGTGGGGGGTTCTGAGGGTTGAAATATCGCTTCACCACCGTTTGAGGCAAAGAAAAGACAACGCGAACCTGCGCAACACGTAAATCTACAAGTATTCATGTCAGTGCCAGAAGATCCGGTGTGCTCGAATTCTTTTTTACCTTGGATAGATGCTGGAGGCATATCAACATTGCGCACCTGTATGAGACATGTGTCAAAGCGAGCGGCTTTGACTACACAACCTTCGCCGTTCTTCACCGCTGGTTGTGCATGTACAGAGTCAAGTGTTTCGGTTGCGTGTATCTCATTATTCCAGAACTTGATACGGTGAAAGACGGGTACGGAGTCACAAGGCAAATGAATGTTTGTTGCGCGATCTTCAATTTGCTGGAAGGATAGCGTCGGGTGATTATATTGGACAATAAATCTTGCAAGTGCGGGAACAAAATGAATAGCGCGAAACGAGGATGCAGAAGTAATTTCTTGGAATGGAACCAACTTTCGTGATGGATGACGAGTCATCTTGATGTGAAAGAGGGATGCGAGATCAGGAGGTTGCCAATGTTCGGCAGGACAAGCGACAATGATATTCGAGTTTGTTGCAATCAAATTGCGGCGCCACATGATAAAATTTGCATGCTGCAAAACCTTCTCCTTTCGTTTGAGCCACTTCGTCATCTGCCAAAACTCGTCTTTGTGATTGGTAGCAGCATAAGCGTCCTTCGCGAAATCAATATGAAGCCTCTCAGTTGCCTCCGTGTTGAAGTTGTCTGTCGTGCCAAACAGTTTGATTGATCTAGCGTAGTGTTGAAGAAAGTGGAGCTTCGGAATATTGAAGTTATTACGGATGCCGAGGTCCTCGAAAACACCTTTATTGGCATGGAATTCATCCAGCGTTGTTTCAAGGGCATCAATTGATGAATTGGAGTGAACGGGGAACTGGGCGAGATAGAGGAAATCTAGAAGAGATCGAGTGGCGCGCACTAGTCTTGCTGGAGATGCATTTCCAGGCAGCCGCACATCAACGACGAGGCCAAGTAAAAAGCGTGACATTTGCTTGTGCTCCACACCACTGACATGGCTTAATGTCGTGATACCTTTCTGAAAAATTCGCATGGAATGATTGGGCGGAAGGCGACGAACCCGTGCATCTATCTCGGCAGCTCCAACGATTTCGGTAACCCAGCCGATCATGTGTTTCATTACCCCTTGGTAGAGCTGATGCAGGATATCAGGTGTGATAGACTGGAATATATTGAGGTATGGGAGATCTTCCCAGAAGGGATGCTGAAGTGGCTTGATGCGAAGATCATGACACGCTTGGGTGTATAGCGGCGATCCAAGAAGTTCGAGTGTGTCCAAAATAGCATCGAGATCATGCAATTCGTGTTGAGAGGGGTGTTTACCAAGTTCATTGTGGGGACAGGTGCAGACAGGACAATCTCTGTTCATGGTGCCAGTGACTAGGCACTGTTCAGGGTAGTCCCCAACAAAGGCGGCAAAGATTGGATGACAGCGTCATGTAATACCATCTCCACTCATCAATACCATGCTATCCACACCAGCTGATTTCAATGGCTCAACAATGCGTGACATGCATGCATGAAAGAGGTTGGCTAGGGTACGACGCCGTGAGGCTTTGTTGGTAATTTGTGTGAGACGTGTTGTTGGCAGATATGCCAGGAGAATTTGACCTCGGCGGGAGGGTTTACGTCGGATGCTCTTCGGCAAATTGCCAATGGTAAGATAAACTGGGTAAGCAGTTTTGTTTCGGAACAGCGTGATCTGTGTCTTGTCCGATGAGATGATGATGGGGATTATCGTGGCTCCCGGTTTTGATTGTTCCAAAACATCCTACAGTCAAACATGAGCAAGTGATCAACTAATACAAACATCGAATACGTACTTGAGTTGCCCACCACCATTCACCAGTACACAAGTCATGATACAAACATTGAGTCTTGTCTGCATCTGCATAGTGTCTCTCCGGTGCAAAAGACAAGTATTGTGCATGCTCAGGATCACCATACAGAGCTCGAACACATTCCAATATGTCCCGCGAGAATAGATCATAGGTTTCACCTGCTACACAGGCTTCGTGATGAACAAAACGAGGTCGACGTGAAGGAATTTTGGTGTCAATGATCTTATTGAGTTCGACTGAGTTCTTGTAAGACAGCCCAAGTGCCCCACAGACCTGAGATAATGGATGTGAGCCTACATGCCAAAAATGCGAATGAAATTTCACATACACCTTCAATCATCAAGAGATCAGTGAATGCAGTTGATCCTGGACCTCGTAATTTTGCCCATTGTGCAACCTCCCAATCTATCTGAGAATTAAATGGTGCCCATGGATTTTTCGCACTTCCCTCCACATCAACTGAGTAGTGTGTGTACTCGGATATCTTCACTTGAGGCACGTCATGCAACGGAGCACCAGCTTTGCCCCCAAAGTGTTCAATGGTGACTGGAGCATTACGCAGCTGCTCGTGTTCTCCCTCGTCCAGCCTGGAATTCTGCGAAGGTTGAGAATCATGACCACCAACCTCTGGTGTTGGTGACCGCACATTGCGTTCTAGGTTACGTGGTGGCTCCCACCCCATGCTTAAATCAACTTCAGTGTCTTCATTGTCAGTCTCTGGTGCGTTATCATCCTGCTCGGCCACATTCATGTCATGGTGAACATCAATGTGGACGGGTCTGTCATCATTCACATCAGGAAAGTCTTCTTCACCATAGTCGTTACCAAAATAATCCCCGCTAAAGGGCTGAGGATCTGGTGTGACATCAGGTGTCAAAGTGCTGTGGTGCGAGGGCCGGGGTGCATCTCTGCGTATGGGGCAGTGCATCGAATTGTCAAGTCTCTTGTGCTCACGTTGGCAGTGTACATTGGAGGACTTCCTGAGGTGTTGAAGGTACGATCCCCTTAGAGAGAAATGTGTATGGCAGCCTGCACATCGAAAAGACATGTTGTGCTAAGAAATGGGGTACAGGAATAGACTCGGAGGGAAAGCTATTGAACGGTAAACTGAAATGGGAACAAGGTTCAACACGTAGCAAGTTGAGGTGAACAAGGTTCAACAGACCCTGGTCGGCTCTTGAACTTTCCAACTAGACCTTAGCATTTTTACTTTCCTCTCTTTCAACCCCCACCTTTGTCACCGTCCACCGAAACCAAGGATCAAGATGGCCTCACAAAAGCCATCCCGCAAGGTGAGAATGCAGACCCAGACTGACAACAGGGAGTTAAACGAAGCCAGTTCAGGACGACGTGAGAGTACAAACTTTCTATGTGCCATATAACACTAACAGAAAGTTTTAAAAGCAATTCGTGCAGCCAAAACTCTGGCGCTAACAAGACCTGGTCAGAATTCATAACAGCAATAAGATATCCACTTACATTATACGTTTAGATCGACCTATGAAGCGCACAAGAGTCAGAGGCCAAAAAGAGCCGGCCCATACTAGTTCCACCATAGTACCGGCACCTACACCATTGCAAAAAGGCAAGCGCAAACACACTAATAGTGTAACAGAAGGTCAGAGTAGAACTTAGAGTATCGATTGTATTTACCTTCGCACATAGAACCCAAAAGAATGTCAAATGAGGGCCGTGTTCAGCAACCATTGCAGCCGCTCCGTCAGCATGATTCCAAGAAGGCCAAGTTAACGCCCAAACTTAGTGAGCCAATCAGTAATCACACAGATAAACAATAACACGAAAATTTTAGGCAAGGCTTACCGCGCTCCAAATCTGCTCCAACGTGACAAGGACTTGCTAGGCAACTACAAGAGAGTCCAGGATGATGCTGCAGAATCTGACCTTGACTTGGATGAAGATGGCGAAGACCGTGATGGACGAGACAGCTTACTAGATGACAATGACAGGGACGAAGAACTTGCTGACCTCACAGTTGACAATCTTGACGACGAAGTTAGTGAAAATTACCAATAGTATTGACTGAGATTACTGACCTGGATAGGGCGTGCAATGGGCCAATAAAAGTGCGAAAAATCACTATGTGAGCCCATTCAGTAACATTTTCCGACTTAGTCAGACAGCCAAAGGTTGAGATTCTGCCCAGGTAACCGGGCCATCCAAGGTGGGCCCATGGGTGGGTGGGAGCGGGTGGGCCCACAGTGCAGAAATCACCGACACTGGCGGCTGGGCTGAGGTGTGAGGTCCATAGAGATGAGTGGGCCCAAAATGTGTGACCTGGTAGGCCTGCATGCTTGAGGGTGAGAATGGGCCAGGCGGATTTGCGAAAATTTTGACGGATGGGCCCAGCCTGCATGTATGTGTACATATGGGCTCGGGAAACAGGGCAACGGATGGGCCCAAAATGTGTGACCGGGTGGGCCTGCATGCCTAAGGGTGAGAATGGGCCAGGCGGATTTGCGAAAATTGTGACGGATGGGCCCAGCTTGTAGGCATGCTCGGGAACAAGGGCAACGGATGGGCCCAAAATGTGCGATCAGGTGGGCGTGCAATGCCTGAGGATAGGCCCAGCGGATTGCATGTAATCTTGAAAATCACCACAGATGGGCCCACCGTGGATTTCATCTCAGAAAAGGCAAATTGGGCCAGTGCATATGCAGATGCGGTCTCGGAAACAGTGACGGATGGGCCCAGTCCGCTGTGTTTGAACTCGGAAAAGGCAACGGACGGGCCCAGTCCCCCATGGATAGAATAACTTCGGGTGGAGTCTCGGGGAAGGCTATGGATGGGCCCAGAACATGCTTATTTGCTCGCGAAAATGGTGGCTGATGGGCTGAATGTGCTTGGAAGAAACTCAGGAATAGACCCTTCCACCCATGACTGTGGAATCGGAAAGGACGACGGATGGGCCCAGCACTCGTCGTATATAGCCGAGAATGGTGGAGCCCGTAGATTTGGTCTCGGCGAAGGCGACGGGTGGACTCAACGTGTGTGTATTCCTGAGAATGGTGATGGATGTGTGCAGCATGTATGTTGCATGATGGAAGGGGCTACGGATGGACCATCCGTCATCCCTTGCGATGGCGATGATTTCCGGGCCCATCGGGCAAAGATAACAAATTGGTCGGGTGGCAGACAGAACCTTCATGTAGTTTGTGCTCGACCAGAGCGGCAGATAGGCAAAGACCCTTACCAACCCAGGGTTCTGACGACGTCCCAATGATGGGTCCGCCAGGCACTTCCGATATCCTATTTGTGCCTTGGCAGAATATGGCATATCGTCCGCGGGGCTGACGCCATTTGATGAGCCATTAACATTAGCTGGGCCATCCGAGATGCCCTTCATTAACGAAGAGTTGGCATCGCCGGACCTGTCCGATATCCTGTTTGCGCGAGGGCCAATTATGCTTCCTCCGTCCCGCTCATACGTCCACTGGGCCATTGATTTATAATCGGCTAGGCCGCCATCAATGGAACCTCGGACT